GGGAAAATTCTAAAAAAAAAAAAAAAAGTAAGGAGGGACCAGCAGTTAGCATAATGGCTATGTCGCTGGACACCCATGTAGTCAACCGCGGTTCGCGTCCCGAACCCGGTGGCTTAAAACTCACGCCAGGCGTGTGTGTGCCCAAGATCCCAAGAGGAGAATAGAGGAGAAGGGATTGCAAACGTGGCCATCCCCCCGGGGGGTGATTTCTCGCTTTCTATCTCTCTGTCTCTGTCTGTCTGGCGAGCATATGCGCCCTATAGCAAAAACCTCTCCAAAAAAAAGTAAGGAGAGAAAATGTTTATGAAATAAAGTTTGGTCAACTGTATCAATTGTTGTAGAAAGGTCAAGCACCAAGTCTGCTAATAGACCATTTATTCTAGTCATTGGGAGGCCACTGGTGACTTTAGCAAGAACAATTTTGTTGCAGGTGGGTGTACTATAGAAGGAGACTCACGAGATTGGAGTGCACTATTCTCGACACCAACTCCAAGAGCAAAGAATTTTTTTTAAAGAATTTTCTACTTAATTTTGTTATTATTGTTTTTTATTTGCTATGGGACATGTGCGCTCGCCAGAGAGAGAGAGAGAATGTGAGAGAGCAAGTCACCGGGTCCAGGACTTAAACCACAGACAGCCATGTGGGAGGCCAGCAGCCCAACCACCATGCTACCTGCTGGGCCCAAATCTAAATTTTAAAAATGTTTTGTGTCTCAGTGAAGAGCGACATAAAAGCACTGATTTTCTAATCTTAAAAATCAAATAAAATGGGGGCTGGCAGGTGGCATGATGGTTCAGAGTGCTGGACTCCTACATGGCCAACTGTAGTTCGAGCCCCAGACCTGGCGGCTTGCTTTCTCACTTTCCCTTTCTCACTCATTCCCGCTGTCCTTCTCTGGTAAAATTGAAGTAAATAAATAAATGAAATAAAATAATTCTTTTTAAAAAAAGTAAAATAAAATACAATGCAGTCCCCTTTCTTCTTTTAGATTTTCAAGTATGAGAACGATCCTTGAGGACGCAATATAAAGAATGCAGAACATGAAGATGGAATGATGCTGGACCCTTGATGATACAGTCACTGATATGGAAAACTCTAGAATCACTCTGTTAGCAAACATGTAAGGTATTACATTCCTGTAGTCTTCAAAACAGAGTTGTCTGATACTTATAAATAAAGTCATCCTACCCAGTACTAACTTCAGAACGTAGAGGACGTGGTGCTTTGTGGTCAACTTCCTTCCTAACTTCAATAACACTTCCAGGTCACTTTAAAAGAGAACAACCTATGTTTTAACTTTGCTTTACTTTTTCCTGGAAGATGGGGAAACACCTGGACTCCGGATATTATGCTTATAAGAGCAGTCCTGTTGACTTAATTCTCAATATAGGCTTTAAGTTCATCCTTTCAACCCTTTTAAGCTCCAGATCCGACGCTAGCATTTTTAGTGTTTACAATCTCAGAATTTCTCAAGGTTTTGCAGGGCCAGTTGGGCCCCTCTTCAACAGTTTTTATTCTACTGAATTCTGGGCTGTGCCTCCTCCACACTATTTCATGAGTCCTCGTGCTTCTCCAGTTGGAAAAACTTTTATGACCCCATCTCCTGAAGTCCTGCTTCTATTCTTCTAGAAGAATAGAATGTGTTGTTGTGTCATAGATAGATTTTTTTTTTCAATTGTTCAACCTTCATTTTAATGAGATCCTGGGAGCAACAAAATTACATGTGCTCAGTTTCTCTTAATCAAGAAATTCTGAGGCCAGCAGGTGGCATGGTGGTTAAAGACACAGGACTCCCACATGGCAAGCCCTGGACCTGGCGGCTTGCTTTCTCATTTTTCCCTCTCTCTCTGGTCAAATTAAAAAATAATAATAAAAGTAAAGTTAAATAAAATAATTCTTTTTAGAAATCAAGAGGGACCAGTAGATGGCATAATGGTTATGTTGCTGGACTCCCATGTAGTCAACCATGGTTCAAATCCTGGACCAGGTGGCTTAAACTCATGCCAGGCACATGTGCATATGTGTTCAAGATCCCAAGAGGAGAATGAAGGAGAAGGATTGCAGCATGCCCATCCCACAGGAGGTGATATCTCGCTTTCTGTCTCTGTCTCTGTCTTTCCAGAGCCCTACAGAAAAACCCTATCAAAAAAATAAAATAAAATAAAATAAAAACAACAACAACAAAAAAAAAATAAAGAAATTCTAGGACCAGCAGTTGGCTATGTTGCTGAACTCCCATGTAGTCAACTGTAATTCGAGTCCTGGGCCCAGTGGTTTAAACTCATGCCAAGCGTGTGTGCGTGCATGCCCAAGATCCCGAGAGAAGAATGGAGGAGAAGGGATTGCAGCGTGGCCATCCCCCCCGGGGAGTGAGTTCTCACTTTCTGTCTCTCTGTCTCTCTCTGTCTTTCTGGTGAGTGCATGCACCCTATAGCAAAAACCTCTCAAAAAAAAAAAATCAAGAAATCTCATTTGCAGTGACTGAGGATGACCCAAAAAACATATGAATAGAATCAACTGGTCTTGAGGTTCTGAATGGAACCCTGGTATAAGTTGTTTCAGGATCAGAACCATCAGGTTTCTAATATTCTGAAAACTAGCGCAGCTGGTGAGACAGAAGGTAGGTACTTTCTAAGCTGCTCAAGGACCTGAGCTCTGACAGGTACTATCTACAGGTCGGCATGAACTGAAACGGGAACTTTCTGGGACTCTTGAGTACTCTCCCTACCTGTCTGTTTTGTTTTATTTTGTTTTGTTTTGGGGGAGGTTGTTTGTTTGTTTGTTTGCTAGAGGGCATGTACTTGCCAGAAAAAGATGGAAAGGATGAGGGAGAAAGTGCCCCACCATAGGGCATGATCATGCTGCAATCCCTTCTTCCACTTCACCCTGCTGGGATTTCAAGCATGCAAATACACTTGCCTGGTATGTTTTCCAAATACTGGGGCAGGAATTTAATCCTTGCAGTCGGCCATGTGGGACCCATCTCCCCTAACTACTAGACCACTGGGCCAGCCCACTGAGTACTCCTTAGAAAATAAAAAGATAATTCACATCCTATAAATTTCACCATTTAAAAATGTACAGTTGTGGGGGACCAGCAGATGGTGTATTGGTACATTGCTGGACTTCCACGTAGTCAACCATATTTCAAGTCCCAGGCCCGGCAGCTTAAAACTCATGTCAGGCACGTGTGCACACACACCCAAGATCTCAAGAGGAGAATGGAGGAGATGGGATTGCAGCATGACCATATCCCCTGAAGTTGATTTCTCGCCTTCTGTCTCCCTCTGTGTCTCTAGTGAGTACACATGCCGTATAGCAAAAATCTCTCTAAAAACATGTAATTCTTGGCCAGCCCACTTCCTGGTGGTTATGTGAGCTGGAGTCCAGATGCCCATCTGTGCAGCTGTAGTCCCAGACCTGAAAGCTTGAAAAACATTCTGAACACATGTGCATAAGTGTCCAGGATCCCCAAAGTAGAGGAAAATGGAGAAGGGATTGTAATGTGACCATGCCCCATGGGGTGTGCGTTTTCACTTTTTCTCTCTCACCCCATCTCTCCCCAGAAAGCACATATACCCTCTGGCAAACTGTTTTTTAAATGTACAATTTATGGTTTTCAGTATGTTACAGGTCATATGACTATTACTACCTTTCATTATAGGACATTTTTCACCACCCTAAAAAGAAACCCTCTTCTGATTAGAAGGTATTTGTCATTGTTCTCTCCCCCTAACTGATAAGAACCATTCATTTCCCTTTTGTTGTTGTTGTTTTCTCTATAGGGCTCCTGCACTAGCCAGAGAGAGACAAGGGGAGCTGAGAAGTCATGCCCCAGGGGAGAGGGCCACACCTCAATCCATTCTTCTCCCATCTCCACTCAAGAGTGTAGGCATGTGGGGAACCCGCAGTTAGCATAATGGCTATGTCGCTGGACTCCCACGTAGTCGACCGCGGCTTGCGTCCTGGACCCGGTGGCTTAGAACTCACGCCGGGCGCGTGTGCCTGCGTGCCCAAGATCCCGAGAGGAGAATGGAGGAGAAGGGATTGCGGCGTGACCACCCCTCCTGGGGGGTGATTTCTCTCTTTCTTTCTCTCTGTCTCTGTCTGTCTGGCGAGCGCACATGCCCTATTGTGAAAACCTCTCCAAAAAAAAAAAAAAAAGAGTTTGGGCATGCACACACACCAGTCTGGTGTGATTTTCAAGCCATAAGGTCTGAGACTCAAACTATGCAGTTAGTCCTGTGGGATCCAGCACCTTAACCTGACACCACCTGATGGCCCACATCATCTCCTTTCTGTCTCTATGGATGTGTCCATTCCGAATGCTTCAAGTAAATGCAATCATGTAGAATTTGCCCTTTTGTGTCTGCTTTCTTTCACTTAGCATACTGTTTTGTTGTTGTTTGTTTCTAAGAGGTTTTTGTCATAGGGCACATGCACTCCCCAGAGAGAAACAGAGATAGTGAGAGATAAAGTGAGAAATCCACCCCGGGGAGAATAGCCACACTGCAATCCTTTCTTCTTCGGTTTCCTCTTAGGAGTTTGGGCACACACACACCTGAGCCCCACATGATTTTCAAGCCACTGGGTCCGGGACTTGAATGGCAGACTTGTGGGAGTCCAGCCACATATCCACTATGCCACCTGGGGTCCCCAAGCATACTGTTTTATTTTGTTTTTTTGGGTTTTTTTAAGAGGTTTGTGCTATAGGGTGCATGTGCTTGCCAGAAAGACAGAGAGAGACAGAGAGATAGAAAGTGAGAAATCACCCCCTGGGGGATGGCCATGCCGCAATCCCTTCTCCTACATTCTCCTCTTGGGATCTTGGGCACGCACGCACATGCACTCGGCGTGAGTTTAAGCCACTG